GGTTAATTTCTCCTCACCCCTTACATACCACCCCAGCCTACGCCAATGTAATAACTTTTTCATATACAAAGTGAGCAATTTAAAATATTAATTCAATTCAATTAACACTTCATATAATTTCATTTTAATTGAAATTCTAATGGACAGACCAGAAATATTTGTATACAAATGATTATGTCATTAACCAAAAAAATGTCTTTATACTTAATAAACAAAATTAAGTAACAGTGTATAAAACCTTGTTTAACTAAGTAGTTTATGTTGGATGAATATAGATATTTTACCCAAAGTAAGTTTAATGACCGTAAAAAAATATACAAACATCTTTGGTATATTATACTTATTTCTTTTGCAAATCTCTCAGGGAAGGAACCTAAGTAGTAGTTTTATATCAAATCTCAATCATATTTTTATCAGGACCATGTGGAAATAGCAAACTGATGGTAATGTAGTCAAGCTGTAACTTGGTATTTCAGATACTTGCCCAGGGGTGGACAGGATTTGCCCGACGGGGATGTGGGGTAACATTCAAAATCTCTTGAAAGCGTTTTGGGAGGGAAGCCCCCGAAAATATGACAATTTGGGGGTTTCAGATGCTTTTAATTGATTTTAGTGTCTATTAGTATTTAAACCAGACCCTTGCAGACGTCAACGTCAGACCTATGCATGATACAAGACTTTATCAGAAAATATAAGGTTGGGTCAAAATTGTGTGGTGGTTTAACGTGAACAATTCAAGAGGAGTGAGTTTTTATGGTCCAAAATAGTGATTTTTGACCACATTATATATGTTATTTGATAGCCAAATTAAGTTAGTAAAATCATCAAAAAAAAAAAAAAAATTTTTTTTAAATCTACAGTATTTTCATTTTACAGTAGTTTGAAACGATATTGGGGGTTGGGGGGTGCTGGCATGGCCTACTAGACAACAATATATTTAACCACCTTAGCAGGCATTCCTATGCAGAATAATAATGAAGTTATATGACTGAATGTAATATTTCAATTTGAAAACATATTTAAGCCATTTGATGTGTTGTGCTGCGGTAGCAAAAATGTTGGCCTGGATGTTAATGACACCTTGATATTTTCCACAACGGCAATGTGGGCCAGGATGACAAGATTGAGTGCAATGGGAATAAAGTGATGGATGACTAGTGTAGTATATTGAGGGCAGCATTTATCACTACACGCTCTCCCATGTGAGAGTAGCTGAACGTACACAGAACGTAGGTACTGATTGTGTTGAATAAACATGTTGACTGTATGTTGCGTGTAATAGTCGTTCATTGTCTATACTCTAAACAAGAACATCCACCTTTCAAAATACAACAACTAGTTAGTAAACTAATCCCAAGAGTACCATTAGGCATGTCACTGTCAGTAAAACAAAAGGTTGGAAAACTTTTCCAGAAGATGTCTACACACACATACATATACACACACACAAGCAAGAAAGTGAATACAATAGTTCCTATTGCATTTACAAAGGAACTAAAAATACATATACATAACCTTCAAACAATACAAAAAAAAATACATAACCTTCAAACAATACATTTTTTTCCCTTCCCCACAAATTGTGGTTTTTCTCCCCAATTGCCCACCCCCTCCACTGGTGCTCCCCTGTGCTTGCTTTCCAATTCCAGGGTGTTGAATTCAACTCCTGTGACACAGAATGCTTTCTCATGACTTTATATGAAAATGTAATGAGGCCTACACCAGGTTTGCATTGGATTCATTTTGACCAAAATAAATTTTCACTCAGTTGAACTTGCGAATGTCCGTATCAAGGTCAATGAACATAAATCAACATACACACTACATAGGTTTATTTGGCCAAGCGGTTAAGGCAGGGGCGACGCAACCGAGAAGCATAATATTGGCGCTGGTTCGAACGGCACATTCACTTATGGTTCTGCAGATGGAGCAAATCTTCTCACATAAGGTCTATAAACTGCAGACTCAGTGTACACAATTGGTTCATGTGCAAATCTCAGTATTTCCTTCAAGAAGATTAAGGGGTTACCCCAGTGTACTGGTGCATTCAGCCCCTGTCGTTGTGGACATTTATGAAAATGCACCTCTTGGCAGTTGATTGGACAGGATGTGACCCTAGGGGGAGAAGAATAACGTTGAATGAGCTGGTCCACACTTGTGCACATTGCAGCCTTGTTAAAGCTATAAGTCACGGGTTATTTTTCTACCTTTACCCGAGTTGATTGACCTTATGATATGGGCATGCTCAGTTCAAACTACCAACTGGCTTATTACAGTAGTTTGATTAAAAATAGTCAATATGAACAGAGCTTTAGTTTAGCATCTTATATTTCATATATTTAAGAAGGCCCTGAATACTGTATCAACCGACCTTGTAAAACAGCTATAAAGCAGGGTGCTTACTGCTCGAGACAGCAACGCGACGACGAACGCACACAACGGCGCGGAACCAACGGATCGTCTTTTTAATGAGGATCCGTTCAGATTGCCACTGACAATCATCAGACGGCGTCGCCTCGTCTATCGCTCCCAAAGAGCGGAGTTGGATTCGTTGTGCGATGGTCATACGGCGACGCAGTAAGTGCCCGGCTTAAGAGTACAAATTTAACAAAAAATAAACTCAATTAACAATTTTAAAATATTGTTGAAATATAAACTTAACATTGGTTAGTCAGGTGGGTGAATCTGGGCACTTTGCAACAGTGATTTTGGAATTTGAGCACGCTGTAAAACTTGTTGAATGTATTGAAAAGAGTACTTGATCTCTTGATTTTTTGTAGCAAATATTCTTTGCATAGCATCTTTGCTTAGAAATCCCTCTGATCGGCAGTTATCAAGATCTGGTAGATCAAAATGTAGTTCAATTGCAATCTCAAACTGGTATCTGGCATAATCCGGGTGTTTATAAAGTTTATCACAGAGATTCAGAATAACTTCAGCTGTGAATATTAATAAATAGAAAAAAAAATCTTTAACCATGCAATATATCAGTAAGAAATGGGGGTATGTTGACCTCTGAACCTGTTACTTGTATGTACAATGCTGAACCACAAATCATGGAACACTTAATGAGACGCCCTCTACTGGAGCAAGAATGCAATGTTAAGGATTTCTCAGAGTGGATTGATAGTGCTAGGGATTGTGTTTGGCTGGGGCTGAAACACAGTATCTGTGCATGGACACGCTAAATTTTATGCAACAAAAAAGTGTGATATGTCCATATGTGGGTGTAAAATGACATCATTACGCCCATATATGGGCAAATCACACAAATTTGTCATATAAATTTGATAGTGTGGACAGAGCTTTATGAGCAATATGATTGTAAATCTGTGTGTGGACACACAGTATGTTGGAAGTTGTGTACATGTATAGGCATGGTGAATGACATTTATGGATATGTGTAAAAATATAGGAATTTATACCATGCCTTTTGCTAATAGACCAGTGGATGTGTCACTTAATTGCAGAATCCAAATCTAATTGTTGATCATCATAGATTTATAAAACATAAATAATATTTAGGAGTAAATTATACATTTACAATTTTGTTGAGGACAAATAATTTTTTTTAAAAGTAAACTTACGTTTCATCAAATCATGCTGATCATCTGGAACTTCAGGTTCCACTATAAATATAATATAAAAAAGTGTTTTAAGATCAACATCTCAGTACATAATAAAATTAATATATGATGCATCATACTTAACAGCTCTGTTAATTGTATTACAAAAACAATATAGAGTATTTTGAATTTTGTTCTGTTTTTCAATTCAATTTGAAATTCCCACAGTAAAATAACTGACATAACCTACACTAAATTATTTTGCTACAAATCCCAAATCTACTCACAACAGACCATCACTGGGAAGATAGTTGCAGTACTTGCGAAATGGACAAAATTTTCAGAGGACATTAGCCAAAGCAAAAATATCTATACTGCAAAGTGGCTGGGCACCCTTTAATTAAAAACCAAAATTGGGGGAAGTAGAAAATTAAATTTCAAATTTAAGTTCAAGAGTGCCATTTCTGGCCATCTATACATGCCATAGCCATGTAACGTTGTACCTCAGACCGAACCATGTTAGGGCTGTAGTGGTCTGAATCTCTATCTATAAAAGTTTATTCCTCGGCCCATCTATTTAAAATTCCTGGAATCACCACGGTTGTTGTACCTGGGCTAGAAACCTAAACTACTGTACTGTATTACTGTATTGTATGGAAAATAAATGCATATTTGATTTGATATTTGATTTGATTTGAACTAGCCTTTCACATGGCTTACCTATATCATGATTAGTAAATACTCTGTAGAGAAGTTCACCATATCCGACTTTGCAGAAGGTCTGCGCAATTTTGGCAATGTCATTTTCACTGTTACTGAGTCTCGCAAGAAAGCGAAAACTGAGTTCTTCCCTGGAATATTGATCACCACCTACTGGCTTTATATCCCGTATTTGGATAGACAGAGAGTTAGCAATCTTCTCCACCTTTTTAGCGACATGCCGGTACAATTTCCGAATCTCAATATTTTTAAGCCTCTCACCACCTGAAAAGCGAACCAAAGTTTTATATTATGTTATCTACTTGTTTATACATTTAATACTTCTTTTTTTGGTGATATTTCACCATAATTAAAAAAAACAAGTATAAACGATTTTTAAATCTAAATATTAGTATTTGTACTGCACAGTATGTTGAATTTTCTCGTTCTGTAAGTATAGAGGGACATATAGATAGATTAGATAGATAAATATTAAAATTTATATTGCGCCGGTTAAACCGAAGTTGTCACTAGCACTTTACAATGAATACAAAATAAAGAGCAAAAAACAACATATGTACATATGTAAGCGCATGTGAGCAGCTTCGGTTGGATGGACCTCCTCCCCAGCACAAAACACTTGAAATAAATAATAATCATAATATGCAATATAATACCTGTCTCTTATACACATCTAGATGTGTATAAGAGACAGTTGTAACATCATGTTCCGCTTCATTCTCTGTAGCAATAATCATATCATCAGAAATAATGTGTACATTAGGATATGGCCAAATATCTGTTGGTTTTTTTTCTGCAATACTTCACTTGCACTGCAGATACCAAACGGCATTCTTAAGAAGCTGTACCTGCCAAAGGGTGTATTAAAAGTACAGATGTCGGCACTAGCCTCAGTAAGTGGTATTTGCCAATATGCATCTTTCTGATCAAACACGGTAAAAAGTGTATTACCTGATAGTTGACTCACCACATCCATACCAGTTGGTATCATATGATGCTCGCGTTTAATCGCCTTATTCAAGTCACGTGGATCCAAACACAACCTCAATGATCCATCTCGTTTCTCTACTATTACCAAGCTGTTAACCCAATCTGTCGGTTTATCAACTTTTCTAATGACACCTCTCTTCTCCATGTCATCAAGCTTCTTCTTCAACTTGGTATGCAAACTGAGTGGTACTCTGCGGGGAGGATGAACCACTGGAGATGCATCGTCCTTCAACTGTATATCATATGGCTCTTCATATTTACCTAAGCCTGTGAAAACATCCTGATATTCTTTAAGTAAAGAATCTTTAGTTAGTACATGCACATTTTTACCATCAATAGATTCATTGCATATCATATGGTTACCACGTTTAACAAGACCAAGATCACTACATGCTTCCAAACCAAGTATAGG